TTCCACATAAAAAAATTGAATTCATAGATTTAAAATAGAAGTAGTATGTTACCGATAATTAAAATTACAAAATAGTCAAATAACAGATTATTTAGCTAATCAGCTCTAAATGCATGAAACAAACCATAAAGAGAACATACAAAAATACTAACGTTGCTTTAACCTTGCGATTCTTCATGGCTTGGAAGCGGTTGATAATGCCTTTGTCCTTAGCTTGTAGAAAGAACTCCCGCCCAATAAACGCCAAGCAATCATTCAAGTATTGATCCCCAATCTTATTTCTCAATTTATTCTTCAAATAATTCATGATAGAAAAGACTCTTTCAACACTTGCAGTTGCTACTAGAAGCACTAGCATCAATTTGAGCATGTAAACAACTTCATATCTTTGATCCTTGTTTGTATCAACAAGCTTAATGGAAAGCTCAACAAGACTTCTCACACTTCTAAACATTTCATCATTGCGCATGTTAGTAATGTACAAATTAAATTGAGCAGCAAGATGGAGCAACTCTAAGCTTGAGAAATCCTTAGGATAAAATCCAACAAGCTTAACCAATTTTGTCTTTGTCAAAAGCAGCAATGAATCGATATGACCTAATGAAGCCATGCAAATAAGCAACTCTCTGTTTACCTCATCAAACCTTTCATTAAGCTCCTGAAGCTGCCTATCAATGACACTTAAGACATGTCAACACACAAAATGATGGAGATTCTTGATCTTGATAAAGATTCTCCTGTCTCCTCCTACAACCCTGTAGAATGTGTCTGTATCGAGAATTTTGATTTTATTCTTGACCTAGAATGAGTCCACTTCTTTAAGGAAATCCCCCCACCCAGTATCCTACTGCAATTGATGCATTTGCAACTTGGTCAAAGAAATGAGTTCTATTGCGTTGACAATATCTTGATCCTTCTTCTGCAAGGCATGATTCAAATCTGCCATGAACCCTAGTACTGTTTGCATCAAATGTGCCATGAAAACAAACCCATATGATTGAAATATTGTCAACATTGTTTGTTCCTGTGAGCGCTCAACACTTTAAGAACGATCCTTGCCAACCTTTATGAGAACTTTCCGAACTGAAGGATACAAAGATATAAGATGCATAACAGTTTTATAGTGAGATCCCAATGAGTATCTTGAGGCCTTCCCAAACCCAAGTAGTATTCTCAACATGAACAACACCTACGAACCTCTCAACTACCCTTTCCTTTTTGTCAACATACTGCAAACAAAGAGCTAGATGCTCATTTTGGTAGACATCACTAGATTCATTGGCAAGTATTGCAAAAATATTCACCATCAAGATCTTTCATGACAAACCTAGTTGTTTATTTGGCAAAACAATTAGCTATATGTCTTTGTATTCTAGGTGTAGTCAACTTACAATTTTTGGGTCATTGTTCAAAATCACCTTAGCAACCTCTTCAAAGTTTTAGCTAGCATATTTAACAGCTCAAGGAAATTTCCTTTTATTAAGTGAACTTTGGTTTTCATCATGTCCACGAGAAGCTAAGGGGGTGTTTGGTTTCCCTCGCTAAAGTTTAGTCAGCTAAATTTAGTCCCATTTAGTCATTTTTCACCCAAACACCATGACTAAACGGGACTAAATGAGCTTTAACCAACTAGTCACCAGGATGTTGCTAAATGGGACTAAACATCACCTTTAGTCCCATTTAGTCACTTTAGAGCCGAACACCCTGACTAAAAGGGACTAAAAGGCCTCTTTTAATCTCTCTTAGTCACCCAAACTAAACATTCAGTAACTAAAGTTTAGTCCATGGTTTAGCTACTAAAGTTTAGTAAGGGGAAACCAAACAGGGCCTAAAACTTGATGCAAAAGAATCTTGGCACATTTAACAGAATATGACAAATAGGACATATAAAGAGCATTTTCCTTATGATTTACCGCAACAAACTTTTCAACAATTGTTGCTTTAGTTGTAATGAAGGAATTATATCCCTCTTGAGCCATATTGTGAAAACTAGTCATAGCTCCAGAATGCTTAGTAATCCTCTTTCTCATGTGCCAATTTTTAAACCCCCTTTCGCAAAAGCATCTCCAACAGAACTATTAATTTTATGCTTGAACAAATAGCAAACAAAACAGAATGTGGCATCTTTCTCAATATAGTTTCTAAGTGCACTAGTTATCCTGCCACACAACTACACAAGTGATTTGCTGATGAGTTGAGGCATGAGATTTATTAAAGAGAAAGAGGAAAAAAACAAAGAAAATCATCTCTAAACAAGAAACCATGTCTTCCGGTGCATCAAGGTGAAAAGAAACCATCCAACGATGCATGGAACTGGATAATAACAACAATCTAAAATATCTATCTTCCAAAAATACATACCGAAAACTGTAGGATTCATAACAACAGTCCAAAATAGAATTTGTTTAACACGAGAGGAACTGGGTAATTTCTTACTACCAAACTACGAGAAAATTCTTCTTGTTGCAAATATCTATCGTCAAACTAGAAAGGACCCCCATGGTCAAAACGAGAAAGCGAAAAACGACCCGTTGGATGCCCTTGGGATTACCAGTCCTGCGTAAACATCATTCCTGGAGTAGCCGCAGAGGGCTGCAGGTAAAAGAGGAGCTTTTACTTTTTATCATCTGACAGGATAACAGGGTTATTTATCCTATTGGCTTGGTTGATAAGTCATAATTAAAAGTATTGATTGCTGATTTATTGTGAGAAAAAAATACTGTTCGTTGGCTGAAAAAGTATAGATTATAAGCCGAGCGAACAGGTGATTAGCAAGCGACAACACTGTAAACCACCGTCAATTACTGTAACACAAACTGAATCTGACGGCGATCCCTCTTATTCTCCATCCACTGCCAAAGAGGACGAGCCGTGGGCCCGCCCGGCTGGTCACATGCATGCGATTGCGATGATGATGTGGCCACCAGATCCAATAGTTACCTTTTTTTTTTAGAAAAGATCCAATAGTCAAGGGGGTGTTTGTTACACGGACTAATTTTTAATACCTATTATATCGGATGTTTGACACTAATTTGGAGTATTAAATATATTTTAATTATAAAACTAATTACACAGATGGAGACTAATTTACGAGATGAATCTATTAAGCCTAATTAATCTATCATTAGCGCATATTTACTGTAGCACCACATTGTCAAATCATGCACTAATTAGACTTAATAGATTCATCTCACAAATTAATCTCCATCTATGTAATTAGTTTTATAATTAAAATATATTTAATACTTCAAATTAGTGTCACATTAGATGTGACAGGAACTCAAATTTAGTCTCCGGAGCCGAACACGCCAGCACCCCCTTACTTTCGTAGTATATATGCGCCGCCCGAAGACATGGCCCACCTGCAGTCCGTGAAATTACTGAGCCCATACCGTACGCAGCAGCACGCCTGACAGACGCTACGGCTACACACTGATGAGACCGGATCAACCACTCAACCGTATGGATTAAAACTTGGATGCCGGTACCGGACCGGATGGCCTCTTTATACCAATGGTTTTAAAGGACCTTTACTGCTTTTTTGCGGTCCTGGAGTGAATTCTCTTTGCAAAGTTTTCTTAAAAAATTGAAAAAAAACAGTTTTGTCAACGGCCTTAGTCAAGTATACAAGTTTTTTTTTAACCAAAATAGGGGTTTTCAGAAAAACACACACACACAAGATACGTTCAGTATGAACCTGCGTGCCCACCTCTTTATGCCATGTTTGGTAAGTCCTACACATCTGGGTAAGCCAAGATGTAACTTTTAGCATCATATGGCACACAACATTGTTTTTGAGGCCATGCTACCAGAGCTGCATATATCTCATACTCCTGTATTACACTTGTGTAAATTATTCAAATTGATCAAAAAAATCTATTCAGGTAATATATTCTGATATAAACCATGGCTTCCTAAACCCTTCTTAGACTTTTTGTCATAATTGAAAAATCAATGATGTTTTCCCAATAAAATGGTGTTTTCACATGTGTTTCTTATAATGTTTAGACACTTCAACCCGGTTGTGTTTCTTGTAAGAATGTTCACATAATTGTAGTTATAAATATTTATATAAACTTATCCAAAATAATTTTAAAAAAATGACACAATCTAAACCAAAAAATTGCATCCCTTTTGGATTGAGGTAGTACTTATTTTGGGCATATCTTGACTCGGATATTTAAGTCTGTTCTTAGAAATGCATATATTCAAGTTTAAAGGTACCAAGCTGTACATATAGACTCATGTCACATTTTACTCTAGATTACATATCTGATCTCATCATCTTCACAATATCCATAACAATCCGATGGCGCCAATCCAAACCTTGTCTGTTAAACACCGATATGGTACAATTTCTTGACACTATTACATGCTTATATGCTAACACAGTAGAATTCTTTTATTGATAAAGATAAAACTCATCTGAAAACTGAATTTCCATCTGTTTTCAAAAGTGACACACTACTGAAGTACGGAGTATTAGTACTAGTTAGAGCCTTAGAGGTACATCTCCGGGTCGGGGAAAAAATAAACTCGAAGCGGACTCTTCACACAAGAAACCTATTACTTGGAGAGCTTCCCAGCATCCAACCACACCTTTCTCCCCCTGGTTCTCCTGCATAAAGTCTACCAAAATGCAGTGAAAAAAGCGGATGAAAACTGACAAAAAAAATGCCCTGGCGTGCATCCACCATGAATATGAGCACGAGATAAAAAAAACAGCAAGGCTGCCTTTCACTAATCATTGAAGCAAAAAATATATGATATAGATTAGTGCATAAGAAACACTGAAGATCATTTTGTGGCATAGGTTCACAGAAAAGCAAGAATGTCCACACTTCACCACCTACACATGTCAGACCTATTTATTGCCATGTACTGCATCCGTTTCACTCTCACCACCCTGCAGCTGCAACCGCAGCGTTCACTCATTCACTCACTCCCCCTGGTCTCCTCTCCTCTGTCTCTCTCTCTCCCACAACACAACCGAGCCGAACATGCAGGGGCGCAGCAGGGACGCCACCACCGTTGCGGCAGCGGTGGTGTGCGCAGCTGTGCTGCTGCTCGGCGACGCCTGGGCCGTCTCCGCGCAGCAGGCGGCGGCGGCGGCGGCTGCGGCGGAGGACAAGATAAGCGCGCTGCCGGGGCAGCCGCCGGTGGGCTTCGCACAGTACTCCGGTTACATCCCGGTGGACGCCGCGGGGAAGCGCTCGCTCTTCTACTACTTCGCCGAGGCGGAGGCGGATCCGGCGGCCAAGCCGCTCGTGCTCTGGCTCAATGGAGGTAAACTTTTCACTTGATTGTCGGCACAAGTATGTCACTGATTCACTGTGCATGCTGCTGCATTACTGCCTGCTCCCTGCTGTGCTGTGGATGATGTTAGGTGTTGTTGGGATGCCGTGACTAAAATTTAGGAGGTGTGACGCAAGGATGTCGTATGGGTGTTTGATATTAATAAAAAAAACAAATTATATAATTCATCGGTACTCCGCAAGACCAATTTTTTAAGCCTAATTAATCAACCATTAGCACATATTTACTGTAGCACTACATTATCAAATCATGGACTTAAAAAAGGGCGTACCCAGTGCAGAGAGCTCCCACTCTGTGCGTAAAAAATTCGTCTCGCAAATTAGTCGTAAACTATGCAATTAGTTTCGTAATTAGTCTATATCTAATACTCTATGCATGCGTCCAAACATTCGATAGGATAACGACTAAAATTACACCACCTTAATGGTGGGTGGGGGGGGGGGTTTGGGGGGATGAGGAGAAGGGAGCTCAGTTTTCAGTGCAAATGCACCTGCGACCAAATATTTTGTCTTGTTCAGTCCCTACTTCCCAAAACAAACATTATAAAAAGATCTCATTTTTTTTAGTAATAGATATAGAGAGTAAAAAATGGGCTTGTGATTTTAGTAATTTTAAGAAAGTATTCTAATTAAACTCTTGAAATAGCATCTTTAGTTCTTTAGGGAGGGAGTGTATAGGATGATGTTAATGAGAGGGATGAAGGAGAAGGGAGCTCAGTTTTCAGTGCAAATGCACCTGTGGCCAAATATTTTGTCTTGTTCTGTTCCTACTCCCAAAACAAACATTAAAAAGATCTCATTTTTTTTAGCAATAGATATAGAGAGTTTAAAAGTGGGCTTGTGATTTTAGTAATTTTAAGAAAGTATTCCAATTGAACTTGTGGAATGAAAATAGTTTGCAAATAAGGAAAGCAAAAGGCTCCTAGCATCTTTAGCTCTTTATCAGTATGACCTCCTTGTCCCCTCTCTTTGTTGTTTTGTGTTCTGCTGCCAATGCAATGGTTTTTTTTTTCTTGGAGAGAGATTATGTTGATTCCCATGCATGTGAATGTAGGGCCTGGCTGTTCATCCGTGGGAGTGGGGGCGTTCTCAGAGAATGGGCCGTTCAGGCCTAGTGGCAATGCGCTAACAAGGAATGAGTATAGCTGGAACAAAGGTGAGCATTTCTTGCAAGTTGCAGTAACTGTACCAAAGCAAAACTTTTGGTTTCCTTTGTGCTTGGTCCTTTTTGGTGAAAAAAAGGCCAGAAAATTATGAAGTAGTATTAACTTCCCTTTTGGTACCTGTTTGTTGTTGTTTCAGAGGCCAATATGCTGTATTTGGAGAGCCCTGCAGGGGTTGGCTTCTCCTATTCCACTGATCCTACCTTCTATGAGGGTGTTGGTGACAGCATGACAGGTGACCTCTATGTTTACCAAATCATAGACCATTTCTTTTTCTGTAGATCTTTTACTTGCAGACCAATATAATTCTTCTTTGGTTGTTTTGAATTTCTGAAGCCAGAGACAATTTGAAGTTCTTGCAAGGCTGGTTTGCCAAGTTCCCGCAGTACAAGGGCAGGGACCTGTATATTACAGGAGAGAGCTATGCTGGTAAGTAAAGCATAGCATCTGAATCTGTGACTTCATGGTCCATCTCGATCCTGAATTAGCAGGATGTTTCTCTTTTCAGGCCACTACGTTCCACAATTAGCCCAGCGCATGGTTGAGTTCAACAAGGAGAAGCTATTCAATCTGAAAGGCATTGCTGTAAGCAGTTACTGACAAGCTTAATTAGCAGACTACAGTAATCTTGTGAAAGAAACCTTTTTTTTTTCACCGTCATTTGATGTCCTATCCCTAAAAAATAGCTTGGCAATCCGGTGCTGGAATTCTCCACGGATTTCAACTCGCGGGCCGAGTTCTTCTGGTCGCACGGCCTGATATCGGATTCCACCTACAACATCTTCACGACGGTGTGCAACTACTCGCGGTACGTGAGCGAGTACTACCACGGCTCCCTGAGCACGGCCTGTGACAGGGTGATGAGCCAGGTGACGAGGGAGACCAGCAGGTTCGTCGACAAGTACGACGTCACCCTGGACGTCTGCATCTCGTCGGTGCTCATGCAGTCCCAGATCCTCGCCCCGCAGGTCAGGTTACTGACAACTGCCATGGACGGTTCACCTCCATTACCATGTGCATGTTGTGTTGCTGACATTGTTTTTTCTTGTGCTGAATGATGAGGCATGCTGCAGCAAGGGAGCAGGGAGCTGGACGTGTGCGTAGAGGACGAGACGATGAACTACCTCAACCGGAAGGACGTGCAGCAAGCCATGCACGCGCGCCTCACAAACGGCGTGCAGAGGTGGACGGTCTGCAGCAGGTGAAGTGAACCTGCTCTCTGATTGTGTCTGAACTTGCTCTCTGAATTCTGATTGATGAAGATTGACGGACGCTGCAATGCAATCTTTGGTGGGGTTGATGGATATGAATATGATAACAGTGTTCTGGAGTACAAGCAGCTGGACCTGCAGATCCCGACCGTCAACATCGTGGGCGCGCTGGTGAAGTCGGGCATCCCCGTGCTGGTGTACAGCGGCGACCAGGACTCGGTCATCCCGCTGACGGGCAGCAGGACCCTGGTGAACCGGCTGGCGAGCAGGCTCCGGCTCAACACCACGGCGCCGTACCGGGCCTGGTTCCAGGGGAAGCAGGTGGGCGGGTGGACGCAGGTGTTCGGCGGCGGCGCGCTGTCCTTCGCCACGGTGCGCGGCGCCTCCCACGAGGCGCCCTTCTCGCAACCGGAGCGCTCACTCGGCCTCTTCAGGGCCTTCCTCGCCGGACAGCAGCTGCCGGAATCGTTCCAGTGACGGAACGGAACCGGAACGGAAGAGAGCCAGTCGTCTCGTTGGAGGGGAGCCTCTTCGTCGTCGTGTATGTTGTAAGCGTGCAGTGCAGCTAACGCCGGTTGCATGTGTCGTGTGGTCCGGCCGCTTGAGACTGGCAAAACCCAATTGGGTTCTTCTCCAAGTGTAATCAGGATAATAATATCATTGAAAGGGATGAGAATGTATTGCCAGATTGATATGTTGTAGAGATGGCTTTGGTAAATGCCCAAGTACTGCAACCCTAACAAAGGTGCGATCGACCACCTGACATATGTGGGGCTAGGCGCAGCGCTTGCCCGCGCGGCATGGCTGCGACGGAGCTCGCTCGCCTGTGATGAAGCGAACGAACGCTTGTCCTAGGTGGGACGACTCTGTCTCTGAAAGAAGAGGGACGGAAGTCATGGAATCTAGTAAGCACATTCTTTAGTGGGACGTCTCTGAATCTACCGGGTTGTTCTACAACCAAACACTATCTCGAAATGAATATTGTACCTAGGATGTTCCCGTCTCTCGAACCAAACACTACCTAGTGAATGGCGGTAGCATGTCGTCGTTTTCAACCCTAACAGGTTAGGGATCTCTGTTAGTCGCTGAATTCTCACTCTTGGTAGTAGGAGAATTCTTACTCTCATCGAGAGAGGATAACATTAGGAGTTGGGGCAATTTTCTTGTCTATTTCTCACACAAACTCACACAAATGCCATGCCAATCTGAGGGGTTGGGGTTATATATTTATAGGCTGCTAGCCAGCCAAGCATATGCCAAGATGCTAGTCTAAGATGCTAGTCTAAGATGCTAATATGCTGTCCTAGCTAAGATGCTGTCCTCTAGTCTAAGATGTTGTCCTCTAAGATGATGTCCTCTAGTCTAAGATGCTGTCCTAAAAACAGAAAACAGCCACAAGGACCATGTGAGCAGCACAGCCCCACAAAGACCAGCCACACATGAGACTTATCCATCATTCTCCCCCTAAGTCTTGTGCGTCGTCTTGTGGGAGAGTTGAACCATCCCGGTCCTGGAGCAGAGCTCAAGGAACTTGATCCTCCCAAGGGGCTTGGTGAGCAGGTCCGCAAGCTGGTCCTTGGTATTGATGTAGCTCGCCTTGATGCTCCCTTCCTCCAAACAGCCTCGGATGAAGTGGTACCTCACCCGGATGTGCTTGCTGCGTTCGTGGAACACGGGGTTCTTTGCCAGGGCCAGAGCGGACTTGCTATCCACCCTGAGCTCCACTGCTCTAGTGTCTCTGCTGAGGAGATCACCAAGCAGTCGAGCGAGCCAGAGCGCCTGAGTCGAAGCGGTGGAGGCCGCTATGTACTCGGCCTCGTAGCTGGATAGGGCCACCACCTGCTGCTTGATCGACTGCCAGCTAACGAGGCACTTGCCGAGGAAGAAGAGGATCCCGCTTGTGCTCTTGCTGGTGTCGATGTCGCCGGCGTGGTCGCTGTCGCTGTACCAGACGAAGTGTGCCGCCCTAGGGCACCTCGGGTAGTAGAGGCCGTGGTCGAGAGTCCCCGCAACGTAGCGGATGATCCTCTTCACAGCCTGCTAGTGCTCCATCGTCGATCGCTGCATGAATCGACTAACGTAGCCGACGGAGAATGCCAAGTCCGGCCGTGTGTGGGCGAGGTAGCGAAGGCTCCCCACAAGACGCCGGTACTGTGTAGCGTCCACCTCCTCTATCGTGCTGTCGCGGCTCAGCTTCAGCCTCTCCTCCATCGGAGTGAGCTGGGTTACAGTCAGTGAGCCCAGCTAGCTCAACGACGTGCTTGGCGTAGGCGGTCTGTCGAAGCGTGATCCCAGAGTCATCCTGGTGCACCTCGATTCTCAGGTAGAAGGAGAGAGGCCCCAGGTCACTCATCTGGAAGGTGGCCTTCATCTCTTCCTTGAATGCCGCCACCTCCACATCCTTGGTGCCGGTGATCACCAAGTCGTCGACGTAGACACCCACCAGCAGGGCATTTCCTCCATTGCCCCGTCGGTAGATGGCCGCCTCATGCGGGCTTTGCTCGAAGCCCATCCCCTTTAGCGTGGAATCCAACTTGGCATTCCACGCTCTCGGTGCCTGCCGCAAGCCATAGAGGGCCTTGCGCAGGCGGAGTACCTTGCCCTCCTTGCCGGGGATCGCAAATCCCGGCGGCTGGTGCACGTAGACCTCCTCCTTCAAGTCGCTATTAAGGAACGCCGACTTGACGTCCATGTGATGAATGCGCCAGCCCTCCAGGGCAGCTAGCGCAAGGAGGAGTCGCACGGACTCCATCCGTGCCACGGGAGCAAAGGCGTCGTCGAAGTCGACCCCCTCCTGCTGCACGAAACCTCATGCCACCAAGCGAGCCTTGTGCTTGATGATGGCGCTGGCTTCATCCCTCTTCAGCTTGTACACCCACTTAAGGGTGATCGCGCGGTGGCCATGAGGAAGGTCAGCAAGCTCCCAGGTGCGGTTCTTCTCAACCGCATCCATCTCCAACTGCATCGCGGCGCGCCATGCCTCGTGTCTCTCGGCCTCTGCGAACGACCGAGGCTCGCCGTCATCACATGCAAGGTGCAACTGCGCCTCTAGGTCCTCCAGGTCGTGAGGCACCAGTCCCAGCATCAACTGGTCACCGAGAAGGTTCTCCATCGTACGGTACCGCAATGGCTCGCCGTCGTGGTACGCGTCGATGCGCTCCTCGTCGTGAGAGAGCGGAGTAGCGAGCTCAACCGGGCTATGCTCGACACGAGCTGGTGTTGGAGTAGACGTGCCCAGAGAGGTGCCTGTCGGTGCTGGAGTGCGTGGCGTTGCCGGCTGTGGTGAAGCCGGCGAAGAACTCATCACAGCCGAGGTCCTGGCTGGAGAGCGTGGTGCTGTCGGAGTAGCAGGCGCCGGGGTCGGTGGAGGCTCGGGGACTGGGGTAGACGCGCTCGCCGAAGAAGAGCTACCTACTCTCCCATCTCCCTCGAAGTGGACGTACTCGACAGTGAAGTCGTCATACGTTGGAGCTGAGCCATCGTCCACTACCTTGTCCCACGCCCATCCTCGCCCTTCGTCGAACACAACGTCGCGCGCCGTGCGCACACGCTGTGTCTTCGGGTCGAGGATGCGGTAGGCCTTCGAGCCCTCCGCGTAGCCGATGAACACTCCCGGAGTGCTCCTATCGTCGAGCTTGCTGATGTGGCCAAGCTCCTTGGCGAACGCGAGGCAGCCGAAGACCCGCAAGTGGGAGACCGCCGGCTTGCGCCCATGCCAAGCCTCGTACGGCGTCCTGCTGTCGAGCGCCTTGGTAGGCGAGCGGTTGAGGATGTAGACGGCCGTCACCACCGCCTCTCCCCAGAAGACAGCCGGCATCCCCCTCTGCTTGAGGAGGGCCCGAGCCATCCCCACAACCGTCTGGTTGCGCCGCTCGACGACGCCGTTCTGCTGCGGGCTATACGGCGCGGAGTAGTGGCGCTGAATGCCCTCATCAGCGCAATATGACACGAATTCAGCCATTGTGAATTCGCCGCCGTTGTCGGTGCGCAACACGCGTAGCTTGCGGCCGCACTCCGCCTCCGCAGTAGCCTGCGCGCGCCTAATGGCGTCCGCAGCCTCTCCCTTGCTGCCGAGGACCATCACCCACATGTAGCGGGAGAAGTCGTCGACGAGCAGCAGGAAGTAGCGTCGTCCTCCCGGTGTGGCCGGTGTCACCGAGCCACACAAGTCCCCATGCACGAGCTCGAGCCTCTCCTTGGCTCGAAAGCTCGCCCGCTGGGGAAAGGGGAGTCACCTCTGCTTCATCAACACGCAGATGTCGCAGAGCTACTCCACATGGTCGAGGCACGGCAGGCCTCACACCATCTCCATGGCACTAAGCCGCTTCAGGGCCTCGAAGTGAAGGTGACCGAAACGCTCGTGCCACTGCCACGCCTCGTCGTCCCGACGAGCAGCGAGACAGAGGGGTTGTGCCACTTGCACGTTAAGGACATAGAGTTGATTTGCGCTTCTGGATACCTTGGCAAGAAGGCGACGACGGCGATCCCAAATCCTCATGACTCCATCCTCAACCACCACACGTGAACCATTCTCATCCAGCTGTCCCATGCTGATGATGGAGTTCCTCAATGCGGGGATGTAGTAGACTCCGGTGAGCAGCCTATGCTCACCAGACACGACGGTGAAGATGATGGAGCCGACGCCCTTGATCTCCACGCCGGAGGCATCCCCAAACTTGACGGAGCCTCGGACGCTAGAGTCAAGCTCGGTGAAGAACTCCCGTCGACCGGTCATGTGATGGGTGGCGCCAGTGTCGAGGCACCACCGCCGATCTTGTCGCTGCGGAGCTGCGCCGCCGAGGAGGTGTGTGTGCTTTTGGCTCGTCAAGGTGGAGGAGAGCCACTGCGGCCGGTGCCGCTGGAGGTAGCTCGATGCTTTGGCATGTGCCATGAACAGTGTCGGCTCCTCCTCCGCCGCCTGTGCGACGTGGGCCTAGCCGCATCATGGCTGTTGACAGTCCTTGGCCCAATGGCCAAGCTGGCCGCAGTAGCGGCAGGTGTCGTCTCGTGCCGGCTTGTGCCTGCCGGCGGCGCCGCCCTGGGCGCCTCCGCGGGCATCACCCTCGGCATGTCCTCGCGCCCCGGCCTGGGCGTCTCTGTGCGCCTTGCGTGGCTTGCCACGCTTACGGCCGTCTGTCGCGGAAGAAGGCTCCCCCTTCCTCCGGTCACCTTGGCTAGCAAGCCACTGCTCCCGAGTGAGAAGGAGCTTCCCGCCAGTGGTGATGGGCCCCGAGAGGGACTGTGGCTCATCGCTGTCGACAACCTTGAGGCGACATATCGTCTCCTCGCCGTAGGTGTCGTCACCGAACTGCACCATCTTCTGCAACAGAGTGTTGAGACGGAGAGCAAAGTCATCAACGTCCTCACCTAGCTTGAAGGCCATGTTCTCCCACTCCTTGCGAAGTGCCTGCAGTGTGGACTTGCGGGCGCGGTCGCTGCCGATGCGTGCCGCAGCGATGGCGTCCCAAGCCTCCTTGGCAGTCCGCTTGCTGGTAAGCGAGAACTGCATCTTGGGCGGGACTGCAGCGATGAGAGCATCCAGCGCCTGTTGATCTAGGTCGTAGTCGACGTCGCCATACCGGACTGCCTCCCACATGTGCCGCACCTAGAGCTTTACCCTCATCACCGCAGCCCACTCGACGTAGTTGGTCTTGGTGAGGGTAGGCCACCCACCGCCGGGACCGACGTCCCTGACAACAGCCTGGAGCCCATGGTAACCACGGTACCGATCCGGGGAGAGAGAGCCACGCTACCTGTGAAGGCCACGCTCTCCATCGACCCGTCGATACCGATCCGGGGAGAGAAAGCCACGCTGCCTGTGAAGGCCGCGCTCTCCATCGACCCGTCCGCCACCGTTGCCGTGCGCGCCTCCTCCAGGAGCGCCGCCGCCGTGCACGCCTCCTCCAGGAGCGCCACCGGCGCGTCCGCGCTATTCTCTGGCTGCCCGCCGCGCTGCGTGGGCGTCTGCGCTGCCCCAGGAGCGCCATCGCCGTGCGCGCCTCCTCCAGGAGCACCGCCAAAGACGTCCGCGCTTTGTTCGGCTGCTGCCCACGCTGTGTGGGCGTCGCGGCTACTACTGCATCGCGCCCAGCGCCAAGGCCGCCCTCCCTCTCTAGAAGCTCGAGGTCCGCATCGGCGGTGTCGTCAGCGGAAATGGAGCTACCGATGCTGCCGCACAGAGCCTCGACCTCCGCCGCCGCCGCACGCGCTGCATTCGCCGCCGACGCTGCTTCCGCCTCCGCTCTGGCTACTGGTAGCTCCGCCACTGCCAGCCTCGACGCCCTTGCCGCTGCCGCAGCGGTCTCTGCCGCCGCTCGCTCGCGTTCCTCTGCCGCAGCAAGTTCGGCCTCCTACCGAGCGCTGAGACTGCCCTACGGACATGACGTGCTATCGAGGGACTGCTGCGTGGGGAGAGGGCTGCTTTAGACGAGCCGCTTTGCTCTCAAGCAGAGAAGGAGTGAGCAGAGCGGCGGGCGCTGGCCGCCGCACTGGGCTGTTGTGTGGGTCGGGAGGGAGATGAGCAGAGATGCTCAAAGCTCTGAGGATAATCTGCTCGATACTGGGCTTGTTAGTCGCTGAATTCTCACTCTTGGTAGTAGGAGAATTCTTACTCTCATTGAGAGAGGATGACACTAGGAGTTGGGACAATTTTCTTGTCTATTTCTCACATAAACTCACACAAATGCCATGCCAACCTGAGGGGTTGGGGTTACATATTTATAGGCTGCTAGCCAGCCAAGCATATGCCAAGATGCTAGTTTAAGATGCTAGTCTAAGATGCTAATATGCTGTCCTAGCTAAGATGCTGTCCTCTAGTCTAAGATGCTAATATGCTGTCCTAGCTAAGATGCTGTCCTCTAGTCTAAGATGCTGTCCTCTAAGATGCTGTCCTCTAGTCTAAGATGCTGTCCTAAAAACAGAAAAACAGCCACAAGGACCATGTGAGCAGCACAGCCCCACAAAGACCAGCCACACATGAGACTTATCCATCAATCTCCACCCAATACGAAGTGAACAAGTGAATAGGAAAAACGATGGAATCCCCTAATTGCATGCTAATGGATTACAGTACGTTCCAAATTTTGATCAGATCGAGATTTGCAGAGACTTCTAAGCTTCATACAAGATGTAATAGGATGAATAGTTCAACTCTGGTTGAGATATACTAGGTCGGTTTGGTCACCTTATAGAGTTTATATCTAATATTAAAGAGGGAAAATTCTAGTGCAACATGCAGTTATTAATTGCATGGTAGCATTTTGGGAAATTGGCATGAGCTATGAAGTTATCACCGCTGCAACATACAAGCATCTTTGCTAGTTCAAATAAAATCCAAAGTCCAATTCTACCACAATACCAAATGGCTAATGTCAATCCAATTACTTTTAAATCCAAAGTCCAATTCTACCGCAATACAAAATGACCCTGTCTGAATCAGTGTGTGCTGGTGTTTCTATTGATATGTCAATTAGATTGTCACATTGCTTATCTGAATCAGCTTATGCTAGCGACACTTTCGGTCAGATTTTCCTATTTGGATCAGGTTGTCCTAGTGCTGCTGCATTCAAGTGTGAATCAGATCAGAATTTATATAGTGCTGGTTCACTGCTTCACTTGTTGGTCATAATCCGAATGCACATTTGATCACAACTCAATGAAGCATTTTTTATGAGGAATGAAGCAATTTATGTTGTGTCTAGCGTTTAGCATACGAGGGCCTATTTGAAACAAATGAATCTAAAATAAAGGAATGTAAAAAATATATGAACAAGATAAGGTGAAAAGTGAAAAAATTATGGGACTTCAAAACACATGAATAGCAAGTTTCATGTTTGAAACACATAAATCTATAACATAGGAATCATGATATGTTACGCAAATATTAATACGAATCATATCTTCATGATAACAAATTAAGATGAGCAAACAATAAAATAAGCTCCTTTTGATCTCTACCATGCAGGACGCACCGGAACGCGAGCTCACCACCGGTTCACGCTGCTGCGCTGCCATGGCCGTCGTGAAGACTGTCATGTACAGCGCTCATACATGGATCTGTCACAACATTACTTTTGAAAAACTTCAAAAGGAATTTACAAAGCTAAAAGTTTTTTAAGGCAACAAACTAAAAATGATCTTTAACCTCCCTTATGCTTGCTGCCGAAGTCGCGTGAAGACTTTCTAATGACTCAAGTAGAAGACGTCGAAAAGGTTTCAACTCTTCTTCAACAAGTCAAGTGAAGAGTCGAACTTCTCCGACAATGCTCTACAGAGAGTGCCTTTCAACATCCTATCAAGTTCACTGAAAATAATGTATTAAATATTGCCCTATATAATTAACTTGTGTCCAGCTAACGTTGTGGACGTATAGGACGAGCATGCATCATATTATCCACATAAGGTAAAAAATGTAACGATGTTAAGATTCTCTCCTTAAATTCTGGGATGGCTATTTTTCTTTATAGCTGTTTCATTTCAATCAAATCTCATCAAATACCAGGTTTTTGTCAATTAACTACCCTGTGATGATCCTCGCTCCATAAGTTCTTAATCCTTGGGAACTTCTGGATGCACTTGAGTTTATTCCACCGACTCAAAACCAAAACCTAGGACTACTCCATGACTTTTGAACATACGCATGTGTCATGTCTTGGTTTCCTCTATCCTGGCACATGCTACTCCCTTGATTTTGATAGCCGACATGTGTTGGTTGAAAGTTATTGCAACTGTGCCCTATGATGGTACGATGATCAGTGACAACGGTACATCGTTGCATCCTGGAATCTCCTGTGGATCAATACCATAAGGAAATACAGGGCACTTGCTGTTATCGTGGTCTATGATCATGATCCATTATAGTCCACAATTAACGTGCTTTCGCTCTCCTTGGAATCTCTTTTGGGAAATTCATGTATGTGCTTCTCCTGAATTTCATAAATACCTTGTTAATTATAACCTTCCTTTGATATTGGTTGTAATTCTCGAACCAATCCTTGTTGCTTTGTGAACTTATTGTAAGTTAATGTGTTTGACACATTTCCTTTTCCATTACTAAAACCCAGACTTTTGTCACTTCATAATCTTGGGACGAGATTTCTTTAAGAGGGGATGATTGTAACATCCTAGATGTTTAGAAGCAATTAAAACTTGATCATGATAATCATCATGCATAATCATCAAGCATTGTGGCATAAATCCATTCCATGTTTCAGTTATAGCATGTGTTTGTTGCGTATATGGTGTTTCACATATTACATGACATAATGTCAATAATAGTGTTTAAGGTTCTTTGTGATTTTAGTTTAATAATTTGCTTAAACACTTGAGAATATGCTAAAATAAAGTTTGTAATATAAAGTGTGCTCTATAATGTAGAACCCAAAGATTGAAATATTTTCAAGTTGAACATGTGCAAATTAAGCTTCAAAGATTGAATTCAATGTTGTTTTCCTAGATAGAGCATGTCATAGCAAGGCTATAGAACAAATTTCACATTTTTAGCATGCTTCTAGAATTAGTTATGAAATTCACAAGTTTCAGCTAAAAACACAAGAAGAAAAAGGAAAATCCTGTAGCGCACTGTTCATATGAGTCACGGTTTATGCAGAAACCCCCCCTAGAAAAGCTTCTATTGCTATGCGAGGTCCCTGGTTGCGATTTGAGCAGAGGTGGCGCACGGGAAGACTCAATTTTTGGCAGGTTGATGCTCGTCGGCGGCGAGGGAGAGGTGTTGTGGCATCCTAGATGTTTAGAAGCAATTAAAACTTGATCATGATCAGCTGTGGTAGAACCACCCAAATTATATAGCCCACGTGCACCTATCATTGTCTTAAAGACCTCTGACTGCTACACACGAGAGTCATATAATTCTGGTAGTCTGTTGGATGTCCTCGGAGAACCCCGAATCATCCACATTTTATAACTCATAAAGGACCAATATGGAGTTTCACAACATTACAACAATTGGTACAAAAATACATTACATCGGAGTGTGGAAGACTTATAACATTAATTTACAAAGCATGTCCAAGTCAAAATTTAACTTAAATTCAAAAGGTGAGTAGAACAACAGATGTCACTTAGGTAAGCACCTAAGGTAGAAGAGATGTCCAGATCATGTCGAGCTCACCGACATGACCTCAATTAGCAGCACTAGTCAGAACCTGCAACAGGGGTTAACAAAACCTGAGTACCTGAGGGTAATCAATAAGTCTTACCTAGCTAAAAGAAAAGACTCCAAGGGTATGCAAGCTTAAGAAAAAGTTTGAAGCAAGAGTAACTTTTGCAGAAAAGCTTACTATGAGTGAATCCTTACTTTTAATGTTTTAGCTTCATGTTAAGTTATCAGTAGTATCCAATTTGCACCTGATCTAGCTCAATCAC